GCACCTCACCAGCTTCGGAGACTACTGTCGGGGGAATAGACCCCGTGTAGCCTCATCTGCACCCAAAGATATTTCAAGGCATCGGGGCTAGCAAAGCCCCTCATGCCGACTGGTCACGCGACCGGCTCCCTGGGTTGGCTGGTTCCACGTGGCCGGCTTCTAGGAGACAGCGTGCTCTTAGAAGGCGGCTGGCGTGCGGGCCGACCTCGAGCAGCCGGCCCGTCCACTCCCTCGGAGTCTGCACTCAACCACTACGACAAGACGGAGCGTAGCAACAGTGCCACCTGCTCCCCTCGAATCCCAGAAGGGCGTGGCTACAGTGTGCACTGACCAGGCGGCTACCTACCCGCCTGACATAGCACTATAGCCATACGATCCCTGACGCGGCCGTCATCAGCAAGGACGATGCTACAGCGAAAGGCAATCAGCACGGCCCGCAAGCAGCGGGCGCTACCTGTCGGCCGGATTCTCGGTAGCCGACGAGGCCCTCCAGAGGCGGGCCACAACAGACGGCGGAGAACCCGGCGACCCCAGGCACTGACAACCCGGCCCCAGGGCCTTGTAGATTTACCATTGTACCCCGGGGGGACGACCTACAATACCCCCACGGCCTCACCTCAGTTCATCCACCACTCCACACATACACGCCACGCCATAGCTAGGCGAAGAGAGGGAGAGCTCTACCCTTCTTCCTCCTCCAGCAAAACAGCTGAAGGAATAACCTTGTATACTATCGATCATAGTGATCGCAGCAGGATTAGGGGTGTTATCTCTCCGGAGAGCCCCGAACCTGGGTATGTCTCGTGTGCCTCCGAGCTCGTGCTCATTCTCGCTTCCGGAACCCGACGACGTCCCTATGGCTCCACCCATGATAAGCCACCCCCTGGCATGTGCCGTGAGAATACCATGACAATGCTCTTTCGTTCTTGCTAGCTCCTGATGAAACCGATACTTTTGTTCCGGGCGATTCTTCGATGCATTAAAAATGCTATATTTCAGTTTAGTAGGTGGTTCCTTGAAAGAAATTTAGTATTTTCACTAAGTAGACCATGAAGTTATTATTTCTCGACTGTCCCCTGTAAATGATAAAAATGGTTCCTCATCAGTATCAAGAAATAAATAGACAATCATGTCCTGTCTAGTACTCCTTACCTGGTACACTCTCATTGGGCAGAGGGAAAATGGCATGGAAAGCATAGAATGTGATAAATGGTTCATGCAGTCCATCACACGCACGTCACACCATATATCAGCAGAATTCCAGAGGGCTTGTTCCTTGCCTGACTCTTTTATGCTTACAAAGTTACAATCTTTATACTAGAGCAAGCATGGCACCAACTTGGCAACCATGGTCCACGGGGTATAGTTGTTCAGTGTTATAACTTGAGAAACTACTGCCCTCTTTATTGCTTTTATTTATTGTGTTCTCTTTTGCAGCTTCTATTGTAGGGCAAGCAGAGTGTTTGCCAGCTCAAATATTATGCTGTGCAGTTGGCTTCCGTTGCTCCACCGAATTCGGTCAACATGTTATTTGGAACATGGCTAAACAGGGTAGAGCCCGGGTTAGCAAGACATATTCGTGTGGGAGTGTGCGCCTTAGTGTGGGCGCTCTGGAATTGCAGAAATGATTTGGTCTTTAACAGAACAAGAAACATTCATTTTTTGCAGGTTATCTTCAGAGCTACGGCGCTGATCCGTTCCTGTCCGTTACTCACTCCGACGGAGGCCAGGGAGCGTTTGGTTACTGGATCTACCCGCTGGGAGACGGTAGCTCGGGATATCTTCAACCGGTTTGGATGGCGGTCATGTAATAGGATAGGCAATTAGTTTTCCTGTCTATTTTCGAGCCAACCGGTTGTGGTTTATCTCTTTTGGCTAGTTTGTGTGTCTAGCCTTTCGGTTCTATGTGAGCCTTTGTCTCTTTTTTTTATAATTGCGGAGACATTGAAACCTTGTTGAACCTTTTTATTAATAAGATGGCCGTATGCATCGTGCTAATGCAGAGGCCGGGGACCACTCCTTTAAAAAAAAAGTTGGCTTCCGTTGCCAATTAACCTCGGCTGGTTGTTTTTCTCTTCTTACTGGGGAAAGGAAGATGGCGACTGTTGGGGTTGCTGGGACACTTTGGGGGAATCTGGAAGGCCAAAAAATATGGCCTGTTTCGAGTTGCGACCCCTGTTGAGTGGTCTTTCACGTTTGCTACTACTGGATTAACAAGCGTTGGAGCTGCTTGGTACAGGCGACAGAGGGGAGGCACCGCAACAGCGCGCAGAGCTCATGGCTTCTGAATCCATGGAGCTTTTCTGGTTGCTGCAATGCTTGGTATTGCTCTTCTCTTTTGTTGAGAGGCGCGATTCTGGACCATGGTTCGGCTGAACCCATGGTCCACGCCGTAGGATTGCCCAGCCTTCTGCATGTGGATCCGTGTACCATTTAAATTAAAAAAGGAACGATTAAGGCCCAAACAGCCCGACGCCTCATTAGGCTCTTTGATTGCACCGATTAGCTGGCACAGCCCTAGGCCCGCGGAGGCTATTTTTTTTTCTTCGTAATGATGGATGACACATCTATCTAAACGCTTTAGCACTTGAGCCAATGCCCGATGAATAAAAAAAGCAATCCTCTGCTCATTCGTCTGTGATACTGTTCATCTTCCAACCTGCTACATATTGCTCGCAGCATGAGAGCTCCATCCGGCATGGCTAGCGAAGAAGACACCTCTTTAGACCATCAGCACATGCCGTTGCTCTCACTCCTGCCGGCATGGATGCGCTCTCTAACAGGTATTTACCCCGTTCAGCAGCCATCAGAAAGATGCCGTCTCATGTTTGATTTGCATACTTATCTTTTTTCCCCTGAAAAAATGACTCAAGCACCAAGCAACAAATTTTTTACGTCCAGGGTTTCCATGACGGAGAAGAGTAGGAGGATTCATTCCTGTCCATTCCACTTGAACGAAATCACTAAAAGAAGAAAAGCGGTGGTCATGCATGAAGGCGCCATTGCCATGCCTGATGCTTTGACTATTATATTGCCTAGTGTATAAAAAATTGAGTAGGCTTGCTTAGCAATTCATAGCTCATGACCTAGACTAAACAACTCGCGTCATGCATGACCACTCCCGCCAACTCCCTTCAACAGTTCCCGCCATGCATTGTTTAGCACACAAACTCTTCCCGCCATGCATTGTTTACTCAACCATGCACAGATCCATAGAAACAGTGTCCAGGGATCAACCTCTCCGAGTCCCCCGGTGATCAATTCAACGCGACAGTGGATTTGAAATGACACCATAGATTTTTTTTTTGCGGGGAAATGACACCATAGATTTGACGTACGTGTTTACATAAAAATGGGGTTGGGCTTGTACTGCATGATATATTCGGAGAGAGAGGCAAGTATCTTCTTGAGAGGCCAATATAGACCGTACCAAGTTCGTATTGAGAGGGGGAGAGAGTACAACGAGATTGCCCTTGTGAAATTCGCGATCGGGCTCAAATTTTACCAGAGAAAAGCACTCACAAATCTTGATCCTGTTAACGGAAGAGTGCCGCTTCGAACTGACGCATGACATTCTACAGAGACGCATACTCATTTTGCATAACAGTTGGCCGGATCAATGCTCATTCTCTGTTGTCGAATATACTCCCTCTCTCCAAACGAATGTAAGACGTTTTATAATTCACTAACAAGGGAGTACAACGTATTTACCATGGGTACCTTTCTATTCTATTTAGATCTAAAAAGAAGAAAGGAAAAATGCTCGATTTTCTTTTACAACAACTCGTATTTACGGAGTGTAGGATTGTTTTTCTTTTTACAAGCTGAAAAAAAGCTGAGGGAAATTCGTGTACCGAGTCGCTCCAGCCCAGCCCAGCCCAGCCCAACATCAGCTTCAACAAAGTCCAACCAGACCACACCAAAACCTAAAAAAAAAAAACAGACCACACCACACAAATCCATCCCCATCACTCTCTCGCCCTCGCAGCAGCCGTTCCTCGCCGCCGGCGCCCGGCAGAAGACACAGATTTGACCTCAGGGCCAAACTATTTCACAAACTAAACTGTCTTTGACAGTATTTCACCCAGTTGACCTTTAGTGTGCAGCGCCTGACAGCAAGGCGCTGCATTTTACTGTGCAGTGCCTAACACTTAGGCGTCACACCTGTGCAGCGCCTAGCTCTAAGGAGTTGCACTAGGCTGTGCAGCACCTAGCTCTAAGGAGTTGCACAGTAGAGTGCAACGCCTTGTTGTCAGTCGCTGCACAAAAGGGTCAGCAGTGTGAAATATTTTCAAAAACAGTTTACTTTGTGAAATACTTTCACTCTAAGATCAAATTTGTTAATTTTGCCCCGGCGCCACCGTGCCGCCGCCGACAGCAGTACACCATGCTCCGCCTCCAGAAGTATGTCCTCACCCAACTGCTCCCTTCTTCCTCCGCCTCCACCATCTCCCTCCCTCTCCACCGCCCCATCTCCGCCGTCGCGCCCGCTGTTTCCCCCAACCCTAGCTTCGCCGTCAAGGAGTACCTCGTCACCACCTGCGGCCTCACCCGACCACATGCCGCCAAGGCCTCCTCGAAGATCTCCCACCTCAAATCCCCCGATAAGCCCGACGCCGTCCTCTCCTTCCTCGCCGGTCTAGGCCTCTCCACCACTGATGTCGCCGCCCTCGTCACCAAGGACCCCAAGTTCCTCTGCGCCAAAGTGGAGAAAACCCTGGCCCCCAACGTCACGGAGCTCATCGGCCTGGGCTTCTCGCATCCCGAGATCGCACGCCTAGTCTCACCCGCCGGTGTGTTGTTCCGCTGCAGATGTGTCATCTCGAGTCTGCCCTACTTGCTGTCCCTCTTCGGCTCCTACGATGACCTCCTCCGGCCGCACCAAAAGAGCCCCAGTCTCCTCGGATGCGACCTCAACAAGGTTGTCAAGCCCAACGTCGCCTTCCTCCGCGAGTGCGGGCTTGATAATTGCGATTTGCTAAGCTGTGCATCTCTTCGCGATGGCTGCTACCAACCTAGAATGCCTCCTGGCAATGGTGGCATGCGCCAAAGGTATAGGCGTGCCACGTGGCTCTGGGATGTTCAGACAGGCCTTGCGTGCCATCGCATTCCTCAGCCAGGACAAGATCACCGCCAAAGTGGACTACTTGAAGAACACATTCAGATGGTCGGATGCTGAGGTGGGCATTGCTATTTCTAAGGCTCCAACGTTGCTGACCAGGAATAAGGAATCGCTGCAGCGCAGTTCCGAGTTCCTCATCTCTGAGGTGGGGTTGGAACCGGCATCCATTGCTCAAAGACCGAATGTTCTCACTTACAGCCTAGTGGGCCGGCTGCGACCCCGACACCACATTATAAAGTTTCTCAAGGCAAATGGATTGCTCAAGCGGGACCTGAGCTACAATACAATTTTCAGTCTGGTCGAGAAGGTATTTGTGGAGAAATTCATATGCCCTTACAAGGAAGTTGCACAACACCTCGCTGAAGACTATGCAGCTGCTTGCAGAGGGGAAGTGCCGACTAGACTCAGATTTGCATGAACCAAGAATAACAGTATTAAAATTTGAAAAATGCTTAGTGCTCCCTGAAGATTTCGCTTTGTCCAATAAGTTGGTAGGCTATATTTCAGTGTCCGTGTCTAAATAGATGGTTGTCTTTATAGTATACCTGTAACTTGCTGGATTTCTTGCTGTTAACACTTGATGAAGTTAGTGATTAGATTCATGGGACCTTGTATGACCATGTCATCATTCTGTAGGGAAGAAAGCAGGGTATGGTTATGAACTTGTCCATCGTGTTGTCATATTGACACACATATTGGAACTTGGAGAGTGTGAGATCAAGCAATTCTGAAGATGCATTGGCATATCGGCAAGTTGTATATCTACACTCTCGAGAACATTTTGGAATACTGATATGGAAGCAGAAGAGTGTACTAAATGCCCCCTGCAGTTTTCGGTGTAATACTGAAGTAGATCAATGGTGCATTCTTTCTTCCAGGAGAAGATGTTCTAAAACTGGGTTTGGATGCATTGTGATATCCTCTTCTCCCAGGTGATCGACGAAGCATGGGGGCTGGGGTTCTGTGATTCTGAAGGCTCTGTTAGTTGATGATGCCCTGCCCTGCCCTGAAGTATGATACGCTCGCAGGAGTTTTATCCTACATTGTTCATTATTAATTTTGGAAGGTATGTATTATCCTAGATATTGTAATACACAAGGTGAGACCCGCGTGTGTTGCTGTCGCCTACCTGCTGGATTCATCAGCTCAACTCAGTGGAGTGAGGGAACCTCTTCAACAAATAATACGTTGAATAAAGTAGATATATCTGGTGCTCTAATTAATCTGTACATTGACGAGCTCCATGCTTTTTCACTTATGGTTTCTTGGATCTTCACTTGGATGTAATTCAACGAATTAGAGAGCATGTAAACAATAAATTTATATGCTATACATTTTGTACTCAGAATCTGAATGAGAGTTGAAATTTAACACTGAAACCCTGAATCTTTCAGACTTCATGGGTGTACTCTGTCCTTACACCCAAGTCAAGTGCAAAGCTATATCAGTAAGGGTTTAAACATCTTACAGGGGCCAAGTTAATTTGAATAAGAACTTAAATTTAACAACAATTGCTTTTTTCTTTCAACGTCAGGTTTTATATTTGGCGCCAGAAACTTGATGCTAGCTGGCTTACACTAGATTTTTGAGTGTTGTAAAAATGATATCTTCACAACTATACCAAGCTTGTGCTGCTGATCTTTGCATCAGAACTTATTAATGCCAGATGTGATACTGGCCGGCATAAATTACCAGCTATCAAGAATATTACTGCCAGAGAACATATCATTAAATCTATCTTCATATTAACATATTTGTGTACATTATGGTTTTCTTCCATGGTTTGTAGGCTCCTGAACTCCTGTTTCCATTTAGGCATGAATGTGCTTTACGACTCAATACTTTCTTATGCTATTTGTTAGCTCATGAGATGACAAGATTATATCATACTGCTTGTTCTCTGCAAAATCTAGTGTCCTCATATATGGTTTGGATGGATCCTGGTGGTCCATTGGTTCAATATAGGTACTCATGCAGTCGAGCTATTTAGAATTTGGGAGTCCTACTTCAAGAGATATGTTATAGGCATATTTAAACTGGAATTATTAACTACATTTTCCATTTACAGGTCAGCATGGTTGTCTTGCATGATCATTCTGCCTTGCTATATTAGCATTATCTTAATCTGTGGGATTTTTCGAATCTGTGGGCATGCACCTGCAATTCCTCATGAGTCATGACAAGCAATCACCCTTCTGACTAGGCACTGGTTTTCTTACTTGTGTATAATTCCACGTGTTTAGTGAAGGTTTTGTCTGTTTTTTTTTGCTATAGTTGGCTTGGCTGCATACCTTTTGAAATCGGGGGCACGTGGTGCAGTACGAGATGTGTTCCTAATACTCCAATTCTTTTTTTTTAGGATCACTAATACTCCAATTTTATTCAGAGTGATACCTACCTTTTTTCAAAAATTTTTTTTCTCAAATGACAGATAAGAGCATCTCTAGCGGACCCCATATAATGCCTGAACCCATAAAAAGGTCGCCCGATCAGACACTGTAAACTCGTCGGACCCGTAAAAAATTTGAAGGGGCGCGGAAAACGTCCCCGTCAAAACTGTGAAAATAAGGATTTCAGAGCCAAACCAAAGGGGCCTTGTATACTCAGACCGTTGGCTCGAGTCTAACTGCCATCGGAACCTTCATGGCTCGCCCCTGTCCGCTCGTCCCCGACGCGGCCGCCCGCCCCGATAGCCGCGCTCGCCCGTGGATGGTCCTGGAAGCCGGCCGCGCGCCCATTGTCCGTCCGCCCCGGCCGCCGCGCTCGCCCGCCGGCCCTCCGTCCCAGCCGCCGCGCTCGCCCGCCGGCCCTCTGCCCCTGCCGTCGTGCTCGCCCGTAGCTCCACGGCTCTCGAACGGTGCTAGCTCGTCCCCGATGCCGGTCGGTCGCCCCGGCAGCCGCGCTTGCCTGTGGCTGGTCCCTGGACGCGGGCCGCGTGCCCGCCGGCCCTCTGTCCTGGCCGCCGCGCTCGCCCGTAGCTCCGTGGCTCTTGTACGGAGCTGCCCCAGCCGTTCGATCAGGCCGCCGCCCCGCGTCTTCCTCGTCCGCACGTTGGCCGGCAGTCGGTTTCAAATTGGCGTGAGGAAGTGGAAGAGGAAGAGGTATATTAAGAGAATATTCTTTTTAACGGTTGATTAAATGGATTCTGTTCGACCGCCACCCGCATCAGCCCGTAAAATCAGTTTTCCGTGAACTGTAAAAGCGATATAAGGGTCCGCGATATAAGAGGTCTGCTAGAGATGCTCTAAGAATATTGTTTTGAAATTACATATGCCTTCTAATTACTGAGGGATGACAAACATTTAATTTGGTTTAATCTGCATGTTCTATCAACATGGAAATAACATTACATGTTGGTTCCATAGTGCATATGATGCTGTCTAATCATAGTTGAAATCACAAGCCGACCGTCAGTTATACACTTGCTGTTGTTTGAGCCGGTGGCTGGTTTTCTCCAAAGACAAGGTGCATCATGTGCTCCATTTTTGGAAAAACAGTGGAGAGCTGGCATATGTTGTTGCACACTTGCACTTACCACTGGAGACTCATGAGTCCTGGAATGTGGCATGTCTATGGACTTGTTCATCACTGTATTGTATTGACATTCGTATTCAAACTAAGAGAGTGTGAGATTAGGTCATATTGCAGATGCATTGAAATATCAGTGAGTAGTATATCTGCACTCATGATATATTTCATGAAGGAAGACCCTCAATCTGGCGATGATATGAGATAGTCTAATATGAAATGAACTTGTAATTTCCATTCGGATGATAATTCTGGACCCTTTTTTGGGGGAGCAATGTTACACATATTTCATTCTTTTTTGAGAATAATTGTTACACATATTTCTGCCATTGAGATCAACTGCATTTAAACATGAAAAAATGTACTACATCTTCTGATAATCCTACTGCAACTTATTGCAGGCATCAGTCAACAACAAGAATGGAGAGAGTGAAGCACCTAAAGAATGAAGCAAAGGCTAATGTAGCACGCTGGATAGGCTGCATTGATCCGGTCGATGACGGAACTGGAGAGGAGAGCTATGCATGCATGATTGGTTAGACGCACTTGATCTTCTTGAACGTGGCCGGCGACGACAGAGGCAGCTCGAGCGGGCAGGTGGCCTCCAGCCCGTGCGCCTTGCCGTGCGGCGGGTACTTGACCTCCCCGGTGAGCTTCAGCTGCAGCCGGAACACGCCTCCCGCCGCGCTCTCCTTTGTTGTTGCAGATAGCCGGCCAAGACGATCAAGACTGTGAGAGAGAGAGAGGTGGAAGACGATAGTTTTTGCGCTGCTCAACTACTGCAGCTTTTCTTCCTCTTCTGTTATTATTAGGCTTGCTCAAAACGGCTGCCGAATTACAAGGAAAACACCCACGTCTCCAGCTGGCCTACTGGTCGTGCCATCCCACGACGCCAAGCTAAGATCGAGCAATTACTTTGCCCGCACAAACCGCTACGATCATGCCATCCCATGACCCGGTGAGGCGAGCATTTCTAGCTAACAAACTAACTGCAACTACTGACAGAAAAACACCTAAACTGAAACTTCTGAACCCGTACGTGCACAAGCACACGCTGACGGTCAGTGTTTATTCCAAGTGCTGTAAACTGAAACTTGAGTGTGTGTGTGTGTGTGTGCAGATTATCCAACAAATCACCCCCTAATCTGCCACACACTGAATCACCCCTAGTTTGTGCCGTAGCTCAGCGTACTGGCTCCTTCCAAGGGATTTTGTGAAAATGTTTGCAACTTGATCTCCGGTTCTGACATGAACGACATCCACTCGCCCCAGCTCAACACATTCTCTGATATAGTGATACCTGAGGTCAATGTGCTTGCTCCTCTCATGATGCACCGGATTTTTGCTCAGTTCAATTGCAGATCTGTTGTTGACATGCAACTTGACCTTCTGAACCTTTGTACCTAGCATTTCAGCAAGCAGTCTGCTCAGCCATATAGCCTGACTTGCTGCTGTAGCTGCTGCTATATACTCAGCCTCGCATGAAGATTTTGCAACCACCTCCTGCTTCTGGGAGGACCAAGTAATAGCACCTGAACCGAGGAAGAACACAATACCCGTGGTACTTTTCCTGTCATCAAGATCTCCTGCATGGTCACTGTCACTAAAACCAGTGAGAACAGTTTCCCCTTCTGCTCTGTAGATACACCCAAGATTAAGAGTGCCCTTGATGTACCTCAGAACTTGCTTGATTGCTATCCAGTGTTCCTTTCCTGGTGCTTCCATGAAACGGCTTAGGAGCCCCACTGCATATGCAATATCTGGTCGTGTATTTACCAGGTACCGCAGGCTCCCAATGAGACTTCGATATTCAGTTGCATCCACTGCTCCTCCCTGGTTCTTCCTCAACTTCAGGCAATTTTCCAGTGGTGTATGACTGGCATTGCACTC